TTTGGCATTCTCATTAAGGTCCTTGAAGGTCTCACTAGTTACTCGGAAGTCTCACTAAGTTTTTCGGAGGTTCGTAGAAGATTCTTGAGTAATCTTATAACTGTGGTTCTGAACTCTAGGTCCTTCCTTCATTTGCTTTCCTCCATTTCTTTCATTTGTGACATGTTTCTTTGTCTTCGCATTTTTGGCTGACTGAGAGGACCTGCTGTGTCTATAAGAAGAACTGCTATAGCGATACCAACAGATTTCTCTGCTTTGTTTGTAGTTTGGAAGTTTTGGGGCTCTCTGATCCAGCTGCAGTTTGTTCGGCTGCAGAAGTGCAGGTGCCTCCTTTGTGCAGCAGATCACAGCTTGAGAGGGGATATGAATAGAGTGGAGCGGGGTCTCAGGAATACACCGGGGCGGAGCAAACAATGGTGTCATCACGTTTCCACAATTCCCCGAGTGCCGAGCCCCCACCACCACAAAGATCCCCGCGAGCAGCTCTGTGAGAAAGTCACCCTCGCTTTCCAACCCGCTGCAGGACAGACCTGTTTCTTCCCGTAGGAGCCTGGGACCCGGCGTCTCACCGTAAATGAGTTCAGTGCGTTCGAGAGCTTGTATCCCCTTCTGATTGAAAGAAACTGCCATCCCAGGTGCAGCAGCCTCGGTCACCCCTCTGTACCTCTGTTCTTGGCGCCGCTCCCCTCCTACTCGGTCTTAATGCGCTTTTTTCTTTAGTTGTAGAACTTCCACTCGGTCAGCTTTCCTGTGGTGCTGGATGATAGCTGTTTTGTCTTATAGTTGTGGTTTTAATGTTGTTGTGGGGGGCAGCACGTACAGGTTTGTAACTTATGCCGCCATCTTGGTTCTCTTTTCAATAAAATATATTTTAAAAAATATATAAATAAAATAAAACCTCTAACCCTGATAGATTATGGATTATAACATATTTATATATAACATACCTAAGAATGGAATTTAATCCTTTTAGTATATTGACAAGTATTTTATTTTTTAAAAATACATCTTTATTGTATATATTATTGATTTCAGAGTGGAAGGGGGAGAGAGAAATAGGGGGTGAAAGAGAGAGAAACATCAATGATGAGAGAGAATAATTGATTGGCTGTCCCCTACACAAACTGGGATCGAGCCTGCAGTCTGGGCATATGCTCTGACCAGGAATTGAACTGTGACCTCCTGGTTCATAGGTCGCCACTAAACCACTGAGCCACCACGGCTGGGCTTGACAAGTATTTTAATGTGCTGGCAAATAAAATTCAGTCCAGAATTAAATCTCAGTGCTTTATTAAAGTAGCCACTTTAGAGCATATACAATGTGAAATGCTATTTTCCTCTGTATTCTCATTGTGAAAAAATGGTGTGGAGGATTTAATCAAATTCTTAAAAACAACAATAATGATAAAAATAGTCACTTAAGTTCTTTGATACTTTTAAAAAGTATGTTCTTTCTGTCCTTTTAGTTCTTCAAACACAATTTCTATCATTACTTTTCTAGGCTTCCCCTCCCCATTCAGAGCAAGGATGGGCAGTTTGCTCCCCATCTGGCTTGTCCTGTGGTCCTAAGGAGAATGCTCTGCAGGAAGGACGGGCCCATTTGCCGATGTAGCACTTACAGTGTTCCCGAAGTGACAGACCTGGAGTATGATCACCTTATAAACCAGCAACTGTCCTCCATGGACCAGATTATTATAGTCTATGTGTTCTCAGCTAAGGAAAAGGACAAGACTATGAAGGAAGTGAACAAACTGTACAGGGAACAGAATAAAGCTCGAAACATGCCTTGTACTCAGGTGAGTATCATGTGTATAAAGACAAATTGTGAAATAATGTTGACTTGTATGTTATATCTTAATACAGTTCCTCAGCCACACTAAGGCTCATGGAAGGAATGCTGCCTCTCCCTTCTGAGGTTTGACCTTATGTAAGAAAGGTCACAAGTCTTAAGGGTATATAGCTTAATGAATTTTTACATAGGTTTATGTCTATATAATTACCATCCAGAGCAACATATACTAACAGACTATTTCCAGGCCCCAAAGAGCTTCTTGTGTCTTCTCAGTCAATAAATCACCCACAGAGCCCTAGCCAGTTTGGCTCAGTGGATAGAGTGTCAGCCTTTGGACTGAAGGGTCCCGGGTTCGATTCTGGTCAAGGGCGCATGCCTGGGTTGTGGGCTCAATCCCCAGTAGGGGGTATGTAGGATGCAGCCAATCAATGATTCTCTCTCATCATTGATGTTTCTCTCTTTCCCCCTCTCCCTTCCTCTCTGAAATCAATAGAAATATATTTTAAAAAATAAATAAACCACCCACCTACCTACACACAGGTAACCAGTGTTCTGACTTGTATCACCATAAGCTACTTTTGTCTGTGCTAGGCCTTCCTATACTAGTTACATGGCATCACACAATGTGCACATTTCAAAACACATAGTACATTTTTATGTTTCCTCTGCCAGAGAATGGAAATGGTAAGTACAAGTCATGCCAACGTCTTCCAATTCTGCATCCTTCGCAGACATTACTAATCTATCATTCTTGTCAACTGAGCCTAGACTGGACCCTAAACTCTTACTTTGATTGCACTCCAAGTAGCCTCTGCCAGTAGGTCTGAAGTAGGCACTCATAAAACCTCTTCCACATAATAGCCATTACCCACAACACATTTAATAAGTCTTTATGTCTTATCGATTCTGTCCCTGAGACATTTTTTCCTAGTTGTCCCTTTTTTTCAATCCCATTGCTTCTGCTTAGTTTAGACCTTTACCATCTCCCACCTGATGTTCTCCAACAAGTTGCCTAATTTTCCTGCTTCTGATCTTAGTCCCTCTGACATTTCCTACATGTTGCAGGGTATTATTTTTAATATCTGAAGATGATTGCATCATTCTGCTTAAAACCCTCTAAGGCCTTCTCTTCAGGTCAAGTCCAAGTTCCTTACCTGACATTGAGGGCCCACTCCCACTGGGGCTCTTCCCTGCATGTTCAGATCCCTACTTCAACCTCAGTGATAGCCTCAGGGGGGACTTTGAAGAATGCTTAGGGACCCTCAGGTCTTGTTCTCCACAGGATGAAGCACGTGAAAGCTGAGAGTTGGGCTTTGTCACCCTTTGCCAAACTGCTTCCAATAAGTTGCCTTTTTTAGGATGTTGCCCTGAGTATACCCTGTGCTTATTTTAAGGGGTGTTACATTATTTGCTACAGGCCTGGTATAACCTGTGTGAAGCCCAATGTGGAAATTGTCTCTCTGAATGAGAAGCTAGAAAGCTTTTCTCCCCAGGAGGATCTGGTGTGTGCCCTCTTTCCTGTCCATGAGATTTTGGTGCCCTACTGGGTTCCTCTCTTCACTTTGCCTTAAAGTATAGAACAAGCTCTAGCTGGTTTGGCTCAGTGGATAGAGTGTCGGCCTGCAGACTGAAGGGTCCTGGGTTTGACTCTGGTTAAGGGCACATGCCTGGGTTGCGGGCTCAATCCCCAGGAGAGGGCATGCAAGAGGCAGCCGATCAGACTATTGTGCCTTCCCTCTCATTATTGATGTTTCTATCTCTCCCTCCCTCTCCCTTCCTCTCTGAAATCAATAAAAAAAATGCATTTTTAAAAAGTACAGAATGTTTTAGACTGAATTATAACAATAGGGTAAAAAATTACTTACCACTTATCTGAAACACATTTTTTCTTTTGGATCTAGAACTTCTGTTTATATTGAAATCTTCTCATCGTGATTTTTATAATTCATAATTTTCTCTTACACAAATCTTCCTTCAAACCGCTTTAGGTGTTTTCCTTAAAAGGCAACGTGTAAACAAATAACCCAACTTAAAATGTAAATTTTAACTAAGGAAAGGTTATTTTTTCTAGCAGAATTGAGAGCAATCTTGCAGGGAGGCGACATGACATTTTGTAATTTTGAAGGTGAAGAGAGTCCGGGCATAACTGGCTAGGAAACCTATGCTTCCAAAAAGTAGATTCTTTATTAGATCATAAAAAGGAAAGGAAGATCCTGTACCAGGGACCCTAGAGGAATCCAAATAAGAATGTGGACAGTTATAAAACACAGAAAACTCACCCAAGAACTTCAGTCTCCTACAGAAGGGTTGCCTAGCATTCATTCTCTTTCATTCCACCTAACCAGGGGACCCTGGCCTCTTGCGTGGTGCTGAAATTGTTGAGCTGTACTTGGAAGCTGAACAGTAGTGGGAATCACTGGACACTCTGGTAGAAGCTGCAAGGGTGTAGATCAAGCTCCTGAAAGGGTGGCCTGAGCCACAGAGGTTATGGGGTGGGTTCTGGGAGCACAGGATCTGGGAGTAGCAGCCCCACCCTCCCAGCCTGCTTTGAAGCTGGATTCCTCTGCCAATAGGCTGGGAGGTTCTTGATGGCAGGATAATGTCTTGTTCACAAGTATCGCCCCAGTGCCTATCATGGGCCTAGCACATGGTTAACACTTAAAACATACTTGTCAAATGAATTAATGAACCAATCAATGAGTGAATGATTCTTCAGCCTGAGGGTCGGATATGGGTATATGGTCACTGCTAATTCTTTCTTGGTCTCGTGGGAGGTGTTCTGGGACAGTGAGCTTGCGAACTGAGCTAGGTCTCCCCTGAAGAGAGACAAGCAGAGTGAATAAGAGACCAAGACCTAAATCAGGAGTTCAACTTCTCACTGGAGTGACAACAACACACATTAAATCCCAAGGGCTCTGCCATCCTTGGTGCAGACAGTGCTCCCCCAACGTCTGGCATCTAATAGACACTCAGTCAATGTTTGCTGAACTGATCAGAAATGCAAAGTCAGAATAAGATCAATAGAGCAAATATTTATTGAGCACTTAACATCATTTAATCCTCAAAAGAATCCTAAGCCCTAACCAGTTTGGTTCAGTGGATAGAGCATTGGTCTGCAGACTGAAGGGTCCCAGGTTCAATTCTGGTCAAGGGCATGTACCTTGGTTGCGGGCACATCCCCAATAGGGGATGTGCAGGAGGTAGCTGATCGATGTTTCTCATCAATATTTCTAACTCTCTATCCTTCTCCCTTCCTCTCTGTAAAAAAATCAATAAAACATATTTTTAAAAAAAGAATCCTAAGTGGCTGGCTTTTCTGCATATGAGTCCATTGAGCACAGGTCTGTTACTGAGACACAGGACAGTGAATCACTTGTCCAGGATTCCTTGGTTAGGAAGTGGTGGGGCTGGAGTTCAGACCATGGAGCTGTACTCTAGGACCCATACTCCTCAGCACCCCACCATGCCACACGGTGGTGTGGAGTAGAAAGTGGCTTAGGGAGCAAAAGTGCAATACAATGAGGTGATTGGATTGGGAAGAAGGTGCCACACTTACTCATGTGGGGGAAGGAGATGAGGAAAGGTTTTTGCATGCATTTAGTAGGCACAAGTAGTAGTTAAAATGATGAATCACCCAAGGAGGGTGTAAAGAGAATGAATGGCAAGAGGCAAGCTTGGAGATTTTTGTACAGTAGATACTTTTTCTCTATTCAAATAGAGAGAAAGCTGTGCCTGACAAAGACTGGGATGGGAGATAGAGAGGAATGGGAAGAAAACATAAGAGTGGGGCCACAGACTCCCAGGAGAGAGTGTGAGAAGGGGGAACTGTTCGATAATTTCAAATGCCATAAAAAGGCCAAATAATACAAGAAACATGAAAATGTCCACTGGCGTTGGCAATACAAAGGCTATGAGGAGCTTAAGAAGGCATTTCTAATGGAGCAGTGGCAATAGAGTCTAGACTTATTGGTTCAGAGATACAAATACTGCTGAATAGAACAAAAGGTTGGTTACCGGGGATATAATGTCTTTACCACTTTTTCTTTTTCTTTTTTTTTTAAGAGTCGTTTGGATTCCTTTCGATTTCTCAAATACAACATAATGTCTGCATCTAAATTTACAGGCAGCAATTACCCACTTCTGGTTCAAAGGCACAATGTCGTTCCAGGAATTTTTTTGGTAGGTGCTTTGAGACATATGACCCTTTTAACCCACTGTTGTGTATGATGCTTGCATGGCTTAGAGATCATTCACAGAGTGCACACAAGGCTAGAGAGAATGCAGAAATAGGTCAGCTCAAATCCCAACCTTCTGTGGTACCCCCTTGACTAGAGGTCTTCTTATAAATGCAGGTCTTCTTATAACTGTTAGATTATCTGTATGGCCAATCACTCTAATGAAGTTAAAAATTAGATGCTCTGTTAACACTGAGGTGGCCAAAGAATTCACCTTGTGAATTAATATGGGATTATAAGTGCTAAATTTTAATTATTGTGTTTAAGAAGCTTATAACCTAATTAAGGAGATAAGATATAGAAGATCCATAATTTAAGACTAAATACATAGACAATAATAGTGTGGTGATTGCTAGGGGGCACATGGGGTTGGGAGGTGGAGGAGGGTGAAGGGAGGGTAATTGGTGATAGATGGAGACTTGACTTGGGGTGGCGAACATACAATACAGTATACAGATGCTGTGTTATAGAGTTGAACACTTGAAATCTGTATGGTTTTATTAACCAATGTCACCCCAATAAATTCAATAAAAAGAAAAAAAAGACTGAATAGAGTAACTACTATAGATGAGACAGCCTAATCTGGTAGAGAAAGCATGAACTTTAAAAACAAACAGATTTGAGTTCAAACCTTGGTTCTACTACTTTCTTTGCTATGTGACCATGGCCAAATTACTAAGCCTCTCTGGGCCTGTTTGCTCCCTTACAAAAGGGGAAATGATAACCAATTTATAAAATTGTAAAAATTCAGTGAGATAATGTGCATAAAGCACTTATTTCAATTCTTGGCATCTCATGAGCATTTAATAAATGTTAATTTCCTCCCACTAATTTTTCTATTCAACAAATGTTTATTGAATGTCTGCTTGGATACAAAATAAAAAAGCTACAGTCCTTCCTGACAAGGAGCTCCTAGTCCAATGGGGAGAGCTGCAACCTGAGACTTCTTGTAATATGTGAGCTGGGATCCAAAGATGGGAGGGATTTTGATAGAGGTCAGAAGAAGGAGGAGAAAGAAGTTTCAGGGAGAAGGGAATATTAGTAAAGGGGAAGGTTTGGAACACAAGGTACCTGGAGACTTGGTTTTTAGTCCTACACCATCCACTCTAACCAGCTGTATGTGTTTGGGTTAACCTCAACTGGAAGAGGAGAGGACTAGATTAGACCAGTAACTCCCAACCCTGGCTGATGCCTTAGGTGCATGAAAAAAAATATTTCTGGGCCTCACACTAGAACAATTAAATCAGAATTTCTGTGGGTGAAACCCAGCATTCTCTCTTTAAAAATTTTTTTAAATGTTTTAATTGATTTTTTTTTAAGAGAGAAATGTAAGGGAGAGAGAGAAAAACATCCATCTGTTGCCTCCCATTGGTGATCAAACTTGCAACCTGGGTATGCGCCCTGATTGGGAATCGAAGTGAAGACCCTTTGACCCTTTGGTGTGAGGATGAGGCCCAACCAACTGAGCCACACTGGCCAGGCCCCAGGATCCTCTTTACATCAACTTTATGATGATATATTTTACATGCAATACATTGCACTTACGTATATAAGTGTACAGTTCCGATGACTTGACAAATGTATACACTGGTGTAACCACCTCCACAATCAAGATAGAAAATTTTGCCATCACCCCAAAAGGTTTCTTTTGGTCCTTTAGCTGTAAGACCTTCCAACCTCATCCCCAGATGATCACTGTTCTGCTTTCTGTCACTACAGATCAGATCAGGTTTGCCTTTTCTAGAATTTCACCTAAAAGATTCATTCCATAAGTATACTTTTATCTGGCTATTTGGGATATCAGTGTTTTTTAAAAGCTTCCCTGGATCATTTTAATGAGAAGCAATGGACTAGATGGCCTCTCAGGACCCTTCCGGCTTAAAATAATGCCATGATTTCATCTGCTAGTCTAGAGGTACTTTATTAAAGTTGCCTTTTAGGAATATAACAAGTCCTACTGCTATGATAATTTGATAATGCTAACACTAATATTTATGGAGCTTTTTTTTATGTGCCCAGGTACTATGCTAAGTTATTCATATGTATTTTTTTTTTTATCTAAATCCCCACAACCCAGGAGGTAGGTACTGATATTATCCCTGAAAGTAGCGGTGAAAACTGACACTAGAGAGATTAAGTGACCTGTGTGAGGTCAAGAAGCTAGCAAGCAGTGAAGTCAGCGTTCAAGCCCGGATTTTCTCACCATAAGCAGAGACTTTGCTTTTAATCATGAGATTCTACAAGAATGAGAAGTCTCAGCTCCCACTGCTGCAGACATTCTTAAGAAGTCTAAAGTGATACCAGACGCCGGTTTCCCTGTTGATGAGTTCCAGCTGGGGAGACGAGACTGCCTGAAAGGGACTAGCATGAAAGGCAAAGAGCCTCTTACCTTAATATAAAAAGTAAACCAGTTTATTATAAGTGTCAAATGACATTTTAGACAAGAGGAGCACAAAGGAGATGGGGCAGAGGCTAGACCTGTGCATTCCTTTTGAGATACACACTAAACAGAGAAAGCAAGGGTAGCTCATCCACTGGTTTCACTGGAGTAAACCAAATACGTTCCTCAGAATTCAATCCGAATACACACAAAAATCTATTTTCAGTCTTTAAAATACACATCCTTGTCCCTCTGAACAATGGACAATGAGTCTTATTCTGTGGTAAGGAAGTCTCCCCACAGTACCTGGCCTGTGATCAAATATCACGGTGCTCCTGCAGGCCTGTTTGATCCTGTGAATCTTGGCAGACTCGCTGGGCTGGTTTATAGTCTGTGCTTCCTATAAATTTACTGATGGTTAAAAAATTTTTAAAAAGCCCTAACCGGTTTGGCTCCGTGGATAGAGCATCGGCCTGCGGACTGAAGGGTCATAGGTTTGATTCCGGCCAAGGGCATGTACCTTGGTTGCAGGCACATCCCCAGTAGGAGGTGTACAGGAGGCAGCTGATCGATGTTTCTTTCTCATAGATGTTTCTAACTCTATCCCCTCTCCCTTCCTCTCTGTAAAAAAATCAATAAAATATGTTTTTAAAATAAAATAATAAAAGAAAGCAAAGAAAAAGAGAGCATCAGCACAGTGGTTTGTCCTCCTTAAACATAACTCATCTGTGATATCCAAATCAAAGGCTTGTCGGCTGAGGTCCTCCCAGTTCCCTGTTAGAGAATATTAACTTTTGTGACCACCTAAAAGAAACAGGCTCCTATTCAAACCCTGGCTGTCTGTGTCTGTCTGGCTGTCAAGCCAAGGGCAGTGCTAAGGCGTCAACCTGCCTAGTTGTCTGTCCACTGGGTGACAGTGTTGATCCATCCGAACTAGTAAATGTGCTTTGTCCCTGGGCCAGAAAACTCCGGGAAACACTGCACCAAATGGCATTCTCCGGGCCTTGGGGACGGCCCTGCCTTTCTTCCCGGAGCAAGGCAGAATGATTCTGTTTTCTTTATCTTGCAAGAGAAAATATAGGTGAATTGTTCCAATGTCACCACGTTGGGCTGGATTTCTCTGGGCAAAGCAGTACAGGGAATGGATGTGATTGTCCACAATAAGTGTGCCTGCACTTTCCTGGTAATTTAACAAAGGCAAAAAGCACTGTGGAAACTAAGTTGAAAATTTATTTCAGCTGCTTACTTTAATTGCATTAGGATGGATCGATTCTTTCACCAAGGTGTTCACTTTTTTAAAAATCCTTACCTGAGGATATGTTGTTGTTTTCTAATTGATTTTACAGAGAGAGAAAGGGAGAGGAGAGAGAGGAACATCAATGGGAGAGATAATCATTGATTGGTTGCCTCCTGTATGCAACCCGACTGAATCCGCAACCTGGGCTAATGCCCTGACCAGGAATCGAATCCTCGACCTTCCAGTGTACAGGTCAACCTTCCACACAACTGAGCCATACTGGCCAGGGCACCATGGCGTTCATTTTTATACAAATGGGCTAGTTTGGGGGATGTGCATTCCCCAGGGCTTTGAAGAGGGGCAAGATTGACTTTGTGGAATGTTATTTACAAATTGCCAGGCCATGGTTTTACATTATTCTGTCTGTTCTAACATGATCTCTGTCTTCAAGAGGAGAAAAATAAGAACAAATACTATAGTAAAATTCAATGTGACCAGTGGTGTTATAGACCAGAAAGAGTTTGTCCACCTGGCACTAGCAGAGCCAAACACAAAACAGAACTGTAGTAGAGAAATACTATTTTATTTATTTTTATTTTACAATTTATTTTTGCAGTTTTATAACTTTCTTCGATAATCAGTAGTTAGTTCTCATCCACATTAACTGTTTGTAGATTTTTGAAAGTAGTGACAGGTACAGAGGTAACCAACATATAGAAGCTTGTTTGGGGACTCTTCAGCCTCATTATGTTTTCTGGACAACCGCACCCTAATACCGTATGGGACAGACAGTCCTTATTCCTGTGGCTCAGACAACTTTGCCAAGCCTGGCGTCAATGCTGCATCTGCAGTCCCCAGCTCCTTCATGACAAATTTCTGGATCTCCTTGAGTGCCCAAGGGGCACACTTCTTGAAATCCACTCCAGGGATGTGCTTGTGAATGCTGATGGTGTGTTCTCTGGTCACTACCTCGTTGATGGCAAAACGGCCCTTCTTTCGCCACCTTCTTTCTGTGGGGAACCATTTGCTAGGCCCAAGTTGGAAAGAAGTTGGCTGTTTTATTGATGAATGGCACTGTCCAGGAGAACGGGAAGCTAATGCTCAAAACCCCAACTCCTCAGGGACATTCTTATTCCGGTATTAGCAGGAAAAAAAAATGGGGAGATGCTTATCAGTGACTGTTTTAGGTTCTTCTGTTAAAAAAACAAACAAAAAATGCACCATGAGGATGAGTACGGGCATCACTAATGGAAGTAGTTGGCATTATTTAACTAAAACACAATGCTGCAAGTGATTATCAAAATGTAAACGTTACCTTTCTAATTTA